TATCGTTGTCTCTGAATGAATTTCAAAACAAGTTCTTCAGCGATCACTGAACAAGCTCAGTGTATGATCGCTGGAACTGAAATTACAGATACAGAAATACATCGAAAGGAAAAAGGGATTATCATCAAATCACTGAGAGAGATGATCAACACAATCTAAGCGGATGTGACATACCCGCCTAAGTGAATACTTGTTGGGAAGGGATATAAGAACAATGAAATGTACCCTTGTGTATTTATAAAACGAGTTCCTTATTTTCAAGTGTAGCTCTATATGTCGATGTTATAAACATAATAAACACTCTTGGTGAAATAAGAGAAACCGCAATCTACTTGAAATATGAATTTGAGATAAAAGATCTTGGGAAAACTTGGTTATGCCTAGCCATTGAAGCTTGGGCACCAAGTTTATGGAATATTAATCCACCGGTCCGCATATGTCCAAGAATGATCAGGCGATTCAATATGACAAACGGCATCCGGCTAGCACTCCCATGATCGGTCAAAGTGTTGGATATAAGGAAAAATTTGTTAGAATGATGACGAAAAGGTGTTGGGAGCTGGAAATCCCTCTCTAAGTACAATAGGCGCATTATTGTACTTTGCACAATACACTTGACCGTGTATTTCTCAGTGAACTTGTTAGTTAGATTTAACTCAGTGCCAACGCAACGTCATTGAAATGATATTAAATTAATCTTTTAAAACCATTGACATGGACTTATACTTTCCTTATAAAGCCAAAAATGGGATTGATAATGGAATTTCAATACCTACTTAGATAATAAGCGGCAAAAGTACTAGCCCTTATAGAAAAACACTAAACAATGTCTCAATATGTCTTTGCTGATATTAGATGTCTTTCGACCCATACAAAGATCATTCCTGAAATGGATAAGGAATTACCATAAGGAACACACTGCTCACTTGGAAATAAACAAACCAAACCCTTGTAGCTACCTTATCAAACTATTCCAAGGATATTACTCTACATGAGGTTATTTAAGAGTGTAAATGGTTAAGGACTATCATTACATATAGAGGAGGATCTAGTTTCTTGAGCTAAACCACTATCCTACCAGCATATATGGAAATAATGCATCATGTATCAAAGAAATGAAAATAAGATACATCAAGGGTGACAACACAAAGCATATTTTGCTTAAGTTTCTATACAATCAGCAATAACAAACTCTTCTCTAGATTCAAGTGAATCAAGTAAGATGCCAGGAGAATATGACATATTTGTTTACCAAATCATTACCTAAAACCATATTTGGGAAACATGTAGAAAGTATTAAAATGCAAATGTTTTCCAAACTCCCTAGATTAATGCACGAATCAGGGAGAGTAGTAAATAAAAGGGGGTCTACTATATATGTAATACTGGTATGTTGCGTCATTTCCTTCAACCAAGGTTTTATTTTTCCTACTAGGTTTTGTATCTTGGTGCAAGGTTTTAGTGAGGCAATCATTTATATACCATCTTACTTTCCTAACTTTCATGATTAATATACGAATCTAAGAAAATATTAGACTAAAGGAAAAGTCTATATATTGCAAAGAAACTGGTGCGTTGTACTATTTCCTTCGTCCTATTTTTATTTTTTTCTACTGGGTTTTATTTCAGCATAAGGTTTTAACGAGACAACAGTTGTGCATCATCACTCTTTTATAAAGGATAAACGTGTCATCATCTAAATGTGTCATCATCTACTAAGATAAATGTGTCATCATCTAAAGGATATGACAATAAAGATATAGATATAGATAGAGATATAGACTTGGGATCATGTGAGACCAATGGTTTTTCGTGAGACCCGTAAGACCAATTCTCAACCATTGGATTAGATTTACAATCGTCAGATCTAAACATTCATAAACGCCACAACACTTCTCAATAATTACAAAATTGTCATCTTGCAACTTTAGACCATTAGATTATTAGATTATAAAGTTGATCAATGAACATAAATTGGTCTTACGGGTCTCACGAAAAACTCTTGGTCTCACGTGAACCCAACCCTAGAGATATATATATTAGAGATAAATTAGAACTGATATATTTCGTAGTTATCTATTTGTAACATATCATTATATAAAAAATTTATAATTAACAAGATTTACAGATTTTATTCACTCTATTTCACTTTTATTCTACTGTTTTTCCTTTTAACAAATAAACGATTTTTCCTCTAAAAGCTTCCGTCTCAAATAATAGTGTATATACAAACTACACACATGTGTCCTTTGAACATTTGTTTATAATTCTCTGATGGTAACCTAAACCACAAGTTTCTGCATGTAATCTTTTATATATATATATATATATATATATATATATATAT